GCCCGTCGCTGTACAAACTGCAGCTTTTGCATGAATGACCAGCGGGTGTTGGAAGCCAGCGGTAAATGCGGTAAACACTTCGACGCTGCGGAAACGGTTTATGCGAAGCAAACATAGTTTATTAACTCGTCCATTTCCAAGATCGGCCGTTTAGATTATATGACACTTTGGTGTCGCGCTTGTAGCGCGGAAGAAAAAAGGCGCGTGCGGGGTGCTCACATTGTTCGAACCTGGCCAGTCTTTTCAGTCGCAAGAAGACTTTTGAGTTATGCGGTGCTTTGACTTGGTCTGGGGCGGGCTTTGTGCCTACCCTGCTGCGTTCATCCAAGGACTCGTTGCTTGGATTGAGAATAGAAGAGTCGCGAGACGCGTAGATGAGGTACCTCCATTGCTCGATCCTGGCCGACCTTGACAGTCGCAAGAAGACTTTTCAGTCATGCGGTGTTGTGGCTTGGCCGGGGAAGAATTTGAATGTGCGTCAATGCGTTGATCTCAACTTTCGAGCTTGTGCAGGGCAGGACTCCATAGTGGTCACTCTACTACACTTCGGTGTGAACCCCCGTTGCACTTTCATCGCTCTTGTTTGGAGGTTATCCCCGAACAGTGACGCGGCAACCTCTGGTACACGGCCAGACGTTGCGGACAGAGCCTTGTAAGAAGGACGTCCAATAGACTTGCTGGACGCACCATCCGGCATATCAAAATGGTGTCCCCTTGTGCTGGCCTCGATGGCCGGTACCGCGGGACAGGGGCCTCTCGGGGTGGCGGCTATCCAACCCGATGACGGCATGCCGCGTACCGTAGTAGTGGCTTGCTTGTGGCGTAAGAGTCGCGAACGATGTCTACGTGAATATGCGTAATGTTAATTGGTACTGCCAGCGGCAGGTTTTGTTCGTATGGTTATTGTGTATCGCACCTCGCAAACGGTGTAGGATTTCTAGCTGCTTGTGACGTGCAGGCGGTTATCTTTTGTGTTGATGTTTTGTGCCTTCATCACAGGTGATTTAGTTGTGAGGAAAGTGAATTTTGTTGTCAGAGAAACGATTCTCTAGCGGTCTCGTAGATTATGTAACCTTTAGTAGAGAGAGATTGGGTTGTCTTGTATAAGAGCAATGGTTGTCTAATGACTATACATTTCGACAATAGTTTACGCAGTACAATATTCAGTGCCGCGATTTGTTAGCGTTTGTTTTTCTGTCTGGAACACTGGGGTGGAAGGGACTTTCAATTTTGGTGTATTGTGTGCGACTTAGTGCCGGTTCGTGCTGTGAGCGGTGGTGCTCTGTGCCCGCTTCTGGACTGTACGCTGCCTGGTCGAGCTTCCCGGCGAATGAACTGTCCTTGCGGGCTTGCCTCGTTTGGCACCCTCGCCGCGATCATGAAGGGTGATCGCCATTATCGGCGACGCTCAGCTGAGCTCCCGTGCGGTATTTGCGTCAACTGCGCCACCTCCACTTCTGACCTTCATGACCCCCGGGCCTTCATTTGAGGGGGGGATGGTGTGGGGTCCCGTCAGCCCCCTTCTGGCCGACAACCGGACGCCGGCGCCTGGAGACTCGTTTTCGGTCCCTTCCGTGGCAAGGACGGCGCCTTTGAGGTTTGGTTCCCGAGCGCCTCCTCGCACGGGACCCATCTTGAAGACATGTCGGCGGTGGACATCATAGGACGCCCTTCCCGGACAGCGTCGGCGCCCGAGGCCCTGCTCGTGCCGCGGCAGAGCCAGACGGGGAGCTCCAGCGAGAGACCGCCCAAGATGGGAAAGAAGAGGCTCCGGCCGGTCTGGTGCGCGGCGACGGCGGGAACGGGGGAAGTTGGGACGAAGGACGACGGGAGATTGGCAGAGGGGACTCTTGCGCGGGAAACGGGCCACGACGGACGTGCGCACTGGTGGCGACCGCGCCGCCGGCTCGGGCGACGGCCCGGTGACATGGTCCGGACTTAGACCCCAGATTTGACCCTCGACGGCGACGTCCACGGGATGCGGTGTGGACTAGCACCGCAGGGACGATCGGCATGCAGCATACAGTGGCGGCGCACCTCTTCCAGGCCTCCTCGATCACTTCTCCCGATCCCGAAACCCCCAGCAGAATGTGAGTGGAATAAACCCCTTCTGCCGAGAGCTATGCGTTTGCTGTGTCACGTTCATCCGGAGACAGGGGCCTGGGGAATCGGACGAGACCCCTACACAGGTGACCCACAACCTCCTCGAAGAAATCAACGCAACGAACCCTTTCGAGCGCCCACAAAGATGGGTGTCGATAACCAAGAACGTTGGCGACGCCGTCGAACCCAAAAATGCGTTTTCTCTGCGGTCGGTACGCGAGCGGTGCGACCTATTGTTTGCATACTTCCAAGCAAATGACGAGGCCAACATAAGATAGTAGGGATACCACAACACACTGGAGCGAACCATAGATCGAACTGCTGGTCGCACAGCCCAAAGAAAAAAAAAAATACAAAACACTCAGAAGAATGGATAGTTGGGCGAGTTGGTGGGAATTATTCTTGGGACACAGCCCGAACAGGCGTGGACGAAGAAGAAACACACAGGACGAGCGCTGACAATCAACTGAATTATTTTAATAGGAAAACACATGAAAACGACCATTCATTATTTTCAGTTCACCCCCCGTCTGCGTATCACGAGACACTTTCATAGCGGCGTGATGGCACGTGTTACTATCCCAAATTCAAAAACGCCACCTCACTGTCCAGCAGTGCCAAAGACGGTTGGCTGACACACGAGGTTCCCGCCCTTTTTATTTGGTACGCTTCTACTATTTCTCTAGACACTTGATCCCTGTGTCTGAACAAAACTTCAGTGTCACTGAATCTCGGCTCACAGTTACAATCCCGACAGTGCATTGCAAGATGAGAGTATGCACACCCCTTCAACAAACTCTGGTGCTCTCTTAAACGTGTGTTCAAACAGCGCCCCGTTTGGCCAATACAGACCCGCCCACATGAAGAAGGTATCCTATACACTGCTCCAACGGTGCATGAAACGAACTGTGTGCCTTGCTTTACAGTGCAACCATGACTAGTCGGATTATTCCGCTTACTAAGACGCCTTTCTATGGCGGGGCAAATCTGGCTCAGCTTGTTTTTGGCCGAAAAAACGACACTCACACCGTATCTTGTTGCGATTCCCTTTAGCCTGTGCGAAACGCGGTGAATGTAAGGAATGGACGCCACCTTCTTTTTGTTATTCCCTTCCCACTCAGCACAGTTTTTTGCTGCATTGGCCCTGAAAATCTTCTTTACTTTTTCGCAGGCTTCGGTAATCACCGGATCTGGAAAGCCTACTTCTCGGAGCCTTGCTATTTGGTATAAAACGCTCTCCTTCATTTTGTGCTCGCACGATTTTGACAGCGCATTCCGGACACAAGACACAGCAATACCGTTTTTTATCAGCTTTGACTGGGCGGACCGGAAATCGAGCAGAGATTTAGCGGTTCTGGGATGGTGAGACCAACAAACATGCTCATGCGTAACATCGATACTGAGATCCAGAAACTGAATCTGGTGTTCTTTGGGGGTTTCGAAAGTTAATTTTAGCCCTACTCCTTGTTCATTGTATGTCTTTAGCACGTTCTGGATTGTCTGGTTAAAAGTGGGTTTTTCTACGAATACAAGGTACTCATCCACGTATATGAAACTTCTTCCAGTAAGTCCCTCTAACTTGATTTTAATTGCTCGATCCACTCTTGCACGTGTTTCCCTATTAAAATAATTCAGTTGATAGTTTGCGCTCGTCCTGTGTGTTTCTTCTTCGTCCACGTCTGTTGTTCGCGCTGTGTCCCAAGACAAAACACGTTTACAACAGGCAGCTGGAAAGAGATTCAAGCACTTCGTAGTAAAGAGAGGAGATTCGTGGTGGTTGCTTTGGCTTGACCGAATGAATACCCACCTTGGATTGTTTGAAGCAGTTCGCAGGAGCACGTCTAGATGGCGCTGCAAGTCGATAGGTACGCGTTTGCCTTTCGCTATACTAAAAGTGCGCGTTCAACGTACTCCGTAACGTTACTGACGTTACGTCGACAGCTTGAGTGCGTTGTACGCAGAGATGACGCAAATTAATGCGATGCCTGTTCTGGTCAGAATGAGCGGTTTCCTTTCGTTGCGTTATGTTATGAAAAGTTACATCGGGCTCACGTCGAGAGTCACTGAGATATATGTGCTTCCAATGAAGAGTGACAACCAGTTCAAAGGGTAGAGTAGCACGTGACATTTGAGGCACTGATGCTCCGATGACTTAGGCGTTACGTAAGAAAACAGTGCAGTGCGAGCCAGCCTGCGGCGGTGGACAAGCAATCGTAAACTATGCAGCGCACAGACTTCTGAAGGAAAGGACACCATCCAACCTGTGAACAGCCTAAGTAGAGTCTAAGTAGCACTTGAATGACGCCAACTCAGCAATAGACCTTTGCTATATTACCCAAGCATCAAGGAGAATGCAGAGATTGGTGTTCCATGCGCCGCACGTACTGGCCTCAGCAGTATTAAATTTTTAAAGCAAAAGCCTAAAACAAATTATATCTTGCACGCGCGTTCGCCTAAGCTTTATTTTGCTTATTTACTTCGAATCTTTTATACGCGAAAGGCGTGCACGTGTGGCGCGTGGAACACCAATCGCTGTATTCTCCTTGATGCTTGGATAATATAGCAAATGGTCTATTAAGACCTAGCCCGACACCGAGCGTTTTTCGACGGATTGACTGGAGACGAGGCCTAACCAAGCCCTGATGCAACACTCGTGTACAATCTGTGTGTGTGTGTTCAGTTTCACTGCGATGACGCCCAAATGCTAGTGTGCGGGCTTTAAATATTCTAGAGGGTGTTGCTCCTCCGTGTCAGCTTCGACCACCGTGGCTTCGACTAAGGTCGCACGCCGCACGGCGCCGCGTCTCCTGCAGGAGCGACGGTCGCTTCCTGCGATACCTGGATCTACGTAAGAGTCGATTGCGATACTCTGCGTCGGAAAGTTCCCTTTGGCGTACCTTCGCTCAGACGTCCCCAGCCGGTGACGGTGGCGTTACGTCCGATGAGGTCGTCGGATTCGTTGTCCGGCGGCAGGCAGATGGGCGCGATGTGGGGCATGAACTCGAGTGGCTCGTCCACCCTCACCAGGGCCAGGTCGTTCTCGTAGGTAAAGAAGTTGTACTTGGGGTGCACCACCTTCTTCTTGGCGCCCCGCTCGGCGTACGGGTACGGCTCCAGAACGCTCGAGAAGTCGTACTCGCCCACGCGGATGCGGATCTGAGAGAGCAGCAGACTGCGAGAAAGCGGCCCCCCCTTAACGTTACAGAAAGACAGGAACAATTTCGAGACTTTTCGAATTGCAGAAATAATTCGTAGAACTAATCTTCTAATACACTGAGGAGGATATAGGCAGTCGGTCCTTCCGGTTGTGGACAACGAAAAGTTCTAGCAGATTGTTGTTGTGTCCCTTAAATCACCCCCGGGCAACCGCTGTATTACCACTTTATTACAGTCATGTCTCGTTATTGTGGACACCTCTGTTCCAGCCAAAAGGGCTCAAAACGTGAGTTGTGCAAAATAACGAAAACTAAATGCATGTATTTACCCAGATTTCCCGAAAATTGTGTTTAAATAGAGGGTTACTCGGGCATCAAAGGGGCATTCTTAACGAGACATCACGGAGGACTACGAAAGGCTGTTTATTTCTGTCTTATAAATAAAAACTGCAAGTATGACGACTCGACTAGTGCATTATGAGCGCGGGTATCTGGAAGGTGCGTGTGATTGTAATATGAGAAGGCCAGTAATTACATTCCCGTTCTCGCTGGAGCAGAGATAGGCAGGAATAGCCGTACACCATTCTATGGCGACTTGGTCACTAGCATAACAGTCTACATTGGAATTAAACCCCTATTCCCAATTTACACATTGCGTCTTCCCCTAGCGGGGTAGAAAATACATGATATTCGGGAGAACCCTGTTGTAGTAGAAATAATATGAGTGCTTTCCACTGATTTTAATTGCGGCGTGGATGGCGCTGCACGAGCGTTCACAATTTTAACTTTGCATTGTAACGGAAGGTTGTCTCTCGGGTTTAGCGATATGTGCGGGTCAATTGCTTGTCATATTCGGATTCACGAGATAAGAATATTAGTTACATTGAACTCCAACTGCGTTTTTCATAAGAGCACCTTTAGCTTTTATTTAGCTATACCTTTTTAAAATGTTTTGTTGCACCGCTGTCATCGAATTGCAGGGCCCTGAGGAAGTCGGCCTCTTCGCGTGATCTATTTTGGTCGTCGAGTCCTTCGATTTTATAATGGCATGCTGCGTTTCCATTCCCTGTTCGCATTGCATAAAGTGGGTGTTGAATCTATCTTCTGATATTTTCGCTGTGCGTCCTAGTTCACAAAAAAAAAAAATCTGTTTTAGCTTTAGGTGGTTTACGCACATCCTCTATAATTATCAAATATTCCTCCCTCTTTAATATCAGCTCTTCTTGCCCTGTACGTTTCTAAAGCATGATTTCTCCTGCACTCTTGTCACCTAAAGTTTTCTCCCCCTTTCTTTTACAATATTCTTCAATGGCCTTATCCACCCATCTTTCCCGGTGTTACAACAGTACCTTTACGCTACTCTTCGGGTTAGTTTCCTCCATCTTCTGTCTACGCTGCTCATGCGTAGGTACCAGAATATTCCGCCGGTCCATCTCTCTGCATTCATTTACCTCAGAAGTTTTTTTCAATTCTAGTTTGCTATTAGCCTCCCTTGCCCCGAACCAAGACTAACCTCTATATATCCCAGTCAGAGTGGACCTATGGGTCAGACCTAGGGGGACGGTGGTAATTAGGCTCTGCGAAGAGAAGTAACGTCACAGAAGATAACTGCTTTTTCAAACAAGACATCCCTTCCCAAAAGGAACACACAAAAAGAAGAGTGTATGGCTTTTTTTCATTAAGAGAAAGTTGCCTTTAAGGACGGCAAGAGATGGTTGTAGCCCTCTCCGCCCCCTTTAAATATACACTTACCCCCTGTACAACTTCTTTGGGAGTTTTACCATGGGCTCTCCAATGGCCAACCTGCCTATGCCACGCGGTTTGACTTCTACTCTTCACTGTAGTTCAGCATTAGCATAAGATGTCACTTCTAAATTATAAAGGAGAACGAAATTTTAATGTCAGTGATTTCCGTTAAAATTGACTCCACATAATGCATATACTCATCTGAAGTAGTACCCCAAATTATAAGACACGATTTTTTTTTTCTCGAAGTTATTGAATTATTTAAAATTTGGTTCAAGATGTTGAAAGGCTTTTTTTTTTTTTTTTTTGCAACACTAAAAACGCGACGTCAGATTACAGGAAGTTTAATGATGTGAAATTAATGTTGGTTAAGTTCACGCCAGCAAAACTATAAAGAAAACACGCAAACTATTGTTTTCTTAGACTGCCTGCTGGAGTTGCAATTGGTGACGTCACGCCGCTGGAGAGTGCGGGAAAATCTGAATGTTGGTTTTGGCATAACCTTGAATTGCCATTTCCTCAGTAGCTAATTGGAATTTAGAGAGAATAAATAGCATGCTGGGAAAAGTAAAGCCTGTGTATTCCGAAGATGTGTTTAGAACAAGTAGCTCATAAAAACCGCCCGAACTTTAAACCAGGAACCATAACCCCTAAATGTCGAGGAGGCATCGCCACCTGGCGGAGAACAGCGGAATCATGCGGCCTCCTCCAGTCTGTTGAGTACTTCGTGAGGACCGGTGGAGGAGAGCACTGCCACGGCCGAGCACTCTCTCATCGAGCGGCCGTGGCATTGCACACCAAGAATCTCGCAGAGACGCGTTGCATAACCGGTTTGTACATTTTGTTTGTTTGTCTACAACTTGTTTTATTCTCTAGTCAGCGTGCAAGCTATTTTCTGGTTCTACGCGACGTGTATGGATGGCGCCACCGTCCCCATCGTACTGAATTTAGAATCAAAATACATTTCACTGCATAGTTATCTAATACAATCTTTCTCGTCAGCTCATTTTGGTGTTATCAAAGTGAAATATATTTTTCTTTGTTCAGAACTCACTTGAGACTAAAAACAACAACATATTTTCTTCTTTTGGCGGGTCACTTAAAGAAGTCGTGTTTTATTTGTGCACTATGTATTCTTCAAACTGTTAGGCGGGCGCATCAAAGTTGCTTTTTGGTCTAGGGTTCTACGAAAAAAATCTTAAAATAGTGTAATACAAAAGTACCACTTGATAAATCAAGCTGACGATTTTTAATTAGTTGTACTTATGTTACAATTCAGTTTCCCCGTAAGTTTAGCAGAGAGACGCTTTTCACAAAACGTTGGGCATATTTATATAATAATATAACACAAAAACGAACAAGGAAAAGCCCCGCACAACTTCAAGAAAACTGTGCATTTAATGTTTCCAGATTTTATCAAGGGAAGTAGGATGCTTTTTTATGTATTTCTTATGTCACAAGATTATCGGGCTATGTTGTTAAGGCTAGCCTTGTTTCCACCCTGCTGCAGCCCCGCGGTGCATGGCAACCTATTATTCGGTGCCGCCGACGCATGTATACCGTTTACAGCGCTGCTGAAATTGCGCGCGCCTTAACAACGTGTCATAAAAAATGTCATGCCGAGTATAGCTAGACCTCTCAAGATCAGCTTACAACCTTGTTTCTTGCGTAAAGTTTAACAAAAAAACATTGAAAAACATTTCGACCTAACACAAATTTTGCAAAGTGTCATCGAGAAGAAGACGAAGTTGTCAAACATTCCGTTATGTACCCCATTGCAAACTTAATTTTCCAGCCTAGTCGTTTGCCAATCTCTATGGGACCAGTATTCCTCTGTATATTACGGTGACTGGCTCCCTGTATGTTCTACAGAAAATTAGATGTGCATAAATATTTTATTAAGCTATGTGTATATATATGAATCGGCAGCAGTGCGGAGAACTTCCATTGGGTTTAAGCAATTGTTGTGTATGACGCAACGGGCGCGGGGACTGAGCACGCACAGGCTCGAGCAGAGCGCTTGGGCACTGATTCATGACTGCCATCGAACGAGCATCCAGCCGCACCGGCTGCGTTGCGAACTATTAAATGAAGTATCTAATACCCTAGTTACACTAGCGCTCTCAACTGTTATTAAGCCAACGATCGTTGAGATCTCTCAACTGCCATCGAGCTCAACTGAGTTGTCCTGTGTTATACGGTACAAAGCCCTAAATACCCCAGTTGAGATGCGCGTCAACAGACACCGTTGAAACCAAAACTGATGTCACTTTATATATTCTTAAATAGAAATTCCAATGAATTATATGCACACATTTCATTCATTATAAACGCTTAACACAAAATAAAAAAAAGAATGAAAGGGAGAGGGAGAGAAAAAGCTTTTAATAAACAATTAGTTTGGCTCTTCCGAGGCGAGAGGAGCCCTCATTCCAGGGCCCCTGTAGCTGTCGCTGCGGCACGGGCCCGTGTTACGATTCCGGGCCGAGCATGCTCCCACTTCCAAGCGTCGTGGACTTCGAAGATACTGAGGAGCGTTCACTGAGAGGAGAAGACGTTTATATACAGGAATATTTACATCATCATCTTTCAGCTTTGGCGTCTGAGAAGGGAAGACTCTTGACGAGTCCGAGCACCGGCTAATGTGGCCTCCTTGAAGTGGCGAGGGGGTCCCTGTCCAAGGTCCCGCGAGGGGAAAGGGCACTTTCGTCACCACGGGACGTCTCTGCAGGTCTCCCGGGACGCGGACCTCCCACGTGGTCACACCCCGGTCCAAGCATCCCTCTCGTCCCGTCTCCCAGAAGATCGCGGGAACAGGCAGCTCTCCCGATCACACGCCGAGACCCAAACGTCTCCACTTGTCTACGTCGTTCGTTAGCACCCGGTCCGAAGGCCGAGGAAGCGGGCCCCCGTTTCTCAGCGGGGTGTCAGGGGGGTCAGCTCCCGCTGTGCCGGGTGGCCCGCTCGGTGTCGCCCGGAAGCCGCACCCCACCCACGCCGCGTCGGTCGGCATGTTCGGCGGCGCCAGAATGCCGAGCCCGAGTCTCTGGTCACTCGATGGGTGGTCGATGGCGCTGCCAGGAAGCCGAACCTGCCCTCTGGGTGGCCGATCATAACAGCTCCTCCGCCGCCGGGGAAGAGGGGTCGAAAGGGTTGCAGCCCACGTTGCATCCCGAAGAACCCGCAGTCGCTCGCCGAGTGTCTCTCGGGGACTGCAGCAGTCACCTTCTCAAGGGAGCTCGTCAGTGCACCAGATGAAACAAACAATGGT